ATGCTCACACACACACACGCACACACACACACACACACATGCTCACACACACACACACACGCACACACACACACACATGCTCACACACACACACGCTCACACACACACACACACAGCTGCATGCTCACACACACACACACGCTCACACACACACACACAGCTGCATGCTCACACACACACACACACACACAGCTGCATGCTCACACACACACACACACAGCTGCATGCTCACACACACACACACACACTCACACACACAGCTGCATGCTCACACACACACACACACACACACTCACACACACAGCTGCATGCTCACACACACACTCACACACACAGCTGCATGCTCACACACACACACACACACACTCACACACACAGCTGCATGCTCACACACACACTCACACACACAGCTGCATGCTCACACACACACACACACACACACTCACACACACAGCTGCATGCTCTCACACACACACACACACACAGCTGCATGCTCTCACACACACACACACACACACTCACACACACAGCTGCATGCTCACACACACACACACACACACAGCTGCATGCTCTCACACACACACACACACACACACACACACACACACACACACACACACACACACACACACAGCTGCATGCTCTCACACACACACACACAGCTGCATGCTCACACACACACACACACACAGCTGCATGCTCACACACACACACACACACACACACACACACACAGCTGCATGCTCACACACACACCACACACACACACACACACAGCTGCATGCTCACACACACACACACACACAGCTGCATGCTCACACACACACACACACACACACACACAACACACACAGACACACACAGAGACACACACACACACACACTCACACACACAGCTGCATGCTCTCACACACACACACACACAGCTGCATGCTCTCACACACACACACACACACACACACACAGCTGCATGCTCTCACACACACACACACACACTCACACACACAGCTGCATGCTCACACACACACACACACACACACACAGCTGCACACACACACACACACACACACACACACACACACACACAGCTGCATGCTCTCACACACACACACACAGCTGCATGCTCACACACACACACACACACACACACACACACACACAGCTGCATGCTCACACACACACACACACACACAGCTGCATGCTCACACACACACACACACACACACACACACACACACACACACACACACACACACAGACACACAGACACACACACACACACACACACACACACACACACACACACACACACACACACAGCTGCTTGCTCCGCCTGCTGCACGCTCACAGACTTTATTAACGATGGTGGAAAAACATGAACTGATTCAGGAACCAGGGATCATGAACTGGACTGTGAGCCGAACTCATTAATCAGAACCAGGCGACTCGGTTCCTCCTGATATCAGATAAAACCTGCAAGAAGGAGCCGGACAAATTCAGACGCTACATCAGGATCAGAATCGCACTGAAATATCAGCTCTTTAAATATCAGATTTAGATGGTTTAAAAATGATATAAATATCAGATTTAGAGACAAGAACGGGATCGGAGGGAATTCCCGATCCTTTATTGACCCCGACGGACCAAACAACCCCGACCCCTCCTCCGCCTGTTTCTGTCCCTCATGGCCTGCAGGGATAAACTTGGGAGGTTTTATAAGGGTGCGCTCTCTCTCTCCCCCTCCCAGCAGAAGCACTTAAAGCTCTTTCATGTTGCTTTTCTTCTCTTTCTTCTTTGTCGCAGCCTGAATGCGACGGCGGGAGCCGCCAGCTGCTGGCCTTAATGCTCCTCCACTGAATCTGCTTTGTTGCTGCTTCGTCCTGAGAAAACGCCGTCCTGACTGAAGTCGCTCCATAATTCATCAAACACAAACCACTTCTGGTTTCACTTCATTTCCTGCATCTTAATCAGCTGCGGTCAAAAGGAGACAAACACGTTTAATGAAGTTCAACACAAAACTTTGGTCTGATATTAACATCAAACCTGTTCTGGTTCCATAAGAACATCAGATATTAATAATCATGTCTCTCTTCCTTTCTTTGTTTTGTTTAGATTTCCTCCTGTTTCTCTTCTGTGACAGTTTGTTTTTATTTCTTTTATTCAGTTCATTTTTTGCTGTTTCAATCAATTTTTTTTGGGGGGGGGGATTCTTCCAAAATTTTTCCTGTTTTATACGGAGGACTGACACTGCCAAAATTATCAATAAGTGTAGAAATAAATGGTTTAACAAAGTAATTCTTGAGAACAATATTGCATTCAAAAAATAAGAACTTCCTCAACTTATTTCATTATTTGGTGTAACTAATTTATATTAATGTAACTGATATATCACATTTATTTTCCCAGTCTTAGTGTTCTGTAAATTGGTTTTCTTTTATCTCTTCATATTCTGTGCTTAATATATATTTTTTGATTTCCCTTTACATTTTATTTGGGAATATGGAGAGCCTGAGCGTGTTAGCTGCTAATGAGGGGCGGCGGCGGCGGCGGCGGCAGATCCCGGTTCATTCCAGGTGAGATTCTGGGAAACATCAGAGAACGCCTCGGCTTCCTTTAATCGATCGTTTCTTCTTCTGCACTTCAAACGTGAAGCAGAAACTTTCTCCTTCCTGCCTAAATGTTGCTGCAACGTATCTGCAGTCAGGCAGAGTCTGCAGCTGCATCCAGATCAGAGGAACCACACCGATCACCACTCTACCTGCCGGTTCTGATTCTGACTTGATCCGATTCACTTTCAGCTACAAAACAATAAATATGCAGCAGAATACGAAGGAATAAACAGATTGTGGCACAAATTTAACCAAGTGTTTGTATTTTAGCTTGAGAAAAAACAGCATCAGCAGAAAACAGCAAGGCTGAAAAGTTCTTTCCATTCCTCAAATGCCTGCAGGTGCAAATTAGCATCAAAGCTGAATTTACATTGAAGGTGTGTGCAGCGTTCAAATGTATAATCTCTAATGGATGGGACTGTCACAATAAGCAATAAATCAATTAATCCCACAATAAATTTAAAACCCATCTCAATAATTTTCATTTCATGATTTATTGTTTTTCTCTTTTTTCTCAAAAGTCGGATGATAAAAATCTTCGGTTTGGTGTTTTGGTCTCTACTTTGTTTAAAATAATTTATTTTATTTGTTGTTTTGTTTATTTAAAATGTTTCCAGTTCCAGTGCTAAAGGCTTGTTATGGTTTATTGATCATTCAGAATGTGCTCTTGGATCGTTATTATTCCATTATTACCGTTATGTTGTTATATTTAGCATCAAACATGTCCTCAGATTTTATCTAATTTTTCCTCAAACTCAGAAAAAGAGCATCAAAGTTCAGGCTGGTGGTTGAAACGATGACTGACTGGAAACACTGGGAGTTCTGATGCATTTAATCAATTTATATTTTTCAGTTAAATCTGAATTTAGTCTGTGGAGAGTTTACTGGAGCATCGCAAAACAAAACTCGATTTAAAAACCTGAGACAGATCAAATCAAAGTCTGACATGCAAAACTGAAACATTTCACAGATTTATGATCAACTATTGGAACCAAAACAGTTTAAAACAGAGAGAGATCCAAATCGATCCTTTAGATCCAAATCGATCCTTTTGATCCAAATCACAACAAACCGATCAGAGGAGCCCCTTACAATGACTTGTTATGGCAAAATATAGACAGAACAAAAGAGTAAATTTCTGTCATAAAACTGAAATTTTGAGAATAATCTAAAAAAAATGTTAGAAAAAGAAAGAAAATTTCTGAGCTGCAAAAGTTTAAAAGGTGAGAAAAAGCTCAGAAATAGTGAGATTAATGGCTGAAGTTTTCAGGAAAAAACATGGAAATTTCTGAGTTCATTGAGTTAAAAGTATGAAAGAAAGAGACAAAATGATTTAAATTAATCTCAGAAATCCCGGAAATTTCTGAGTTTGAAAAAAACTTACATTTTTAGGTTAATTTGAACAAGGAAATTTATGAGCTCCAATCTTAAAATATGTGCAACAAAAATGATTTAGAATAATTTAAAAATATTTGAGAAAAAAAATCAGTTTAAGTGGAAACATTTTCAGATTTTATAACTAATTTCCATTTTTTTTTCTAGAACTTTTCCTTGGATTAATCCAAAATTTTTGACACAAATATAAGTTCTGACGGAGTCAGTTACTCCGTCAGAACTTCCTGATTTATTCAAAGCCAGGAATCGTGCAGTGAATTAAAGGACCAGATTCCTGCAGGTTAAGTGAAACTTTTGTCCCTGAGATGAATTTAAAGATGCTCTGTTGACCCAGCAGCTGCAGCAGCAGCTGCAGCAGCTGGGTGGCTTAGATGCTGCAGCAGCAGCTGTAGCAGCAACATCCTCTTAAAACCACTTTAATTAAAGTAAGAGCTGAGGAAGCATCAGCAGCTGCATTACTTTTATTGCAAGGCCACATTTGTGACAAATGTCTCGGTGACACATGGCAGCAGCGCTAAGTGGCGCTCAGCCCGCAGCTTAAATTACTCCGCTAACTGGATGCGGCCATCAGACCCGCAAACGCGAGCGGCGGCGGGATCAACCCGCAGGCGTGGAGCTGCGCCCCCTGCTGGCAGCAGAACCGAGCCGCTTCAGGGTCTGGATGGGAACAGCAGCAGCGATCAGCCGGACCTGCTGCTTGACTCAAACAGCAGAACATGAGCGCGGACTGGACCGGACCGGACCGATGAGAGCAAACCGCTGCAGGACGTTCAATAAACTGGAAATATGTCAAACTTTTAACAACCGCCTTTTGGTTTTATTCATTCATTTCTCTGCTGCAAGATTATTAATTCAATACATGTATCTACATAAAAATATCAGCATAAGTTAAAAGTGGCTCCACTCTGCTGGTTCTGGTCCCGGTTTGTTTCCAACACGAGTCCAAATCGGGTTAAAACAATCAAACAAGCTCCTGGTTCTGGTTCCCCAGCTTACCTGCAGCGGGTTCGGTCCAGAACAAGTTGGCTCTGACGGCGGCGGGCGGCGGCTCCTCTAGGTTTTCCCCAGAACAAGTCGGTCCTGAAGCGGCAGCAAAGTCCTCAGCATCGCTGCAGTTTCCAACTTGACTCTGAGCTCCGCAGCAGCTCCTCTGGCGGCGGGCCGAAGATCAGCGGCGGAGCGAGAGGATTCACCCCGCGTCCCTCCACCCTCTGCAGCCGATCAGCCAAATATCAGCACACAAAGATCAGCACAGGCGCCAAGAGCTCTCCCTGCCAAGACCCGATGCTGTGTTCAGGGAGATCGGGAAAGCTGGGTTTCCATTTATTTTTCTTAAAGCGTCTGATATTACGACGGTATATTAGGGCCACTGTAGATAGAAAAACAATATTAAGCTCTGAAATGTTCTACAAAAAACAAGAACATTTCTGAGCTCCAAAAATAAAACAATTGCCAGAATAAAAATGGAAATTTTGAGATTAAGCTGAGAATTTTTTCAGAAAAACTTCGAAAATGGCCAAAAGTCAAAAATGCATCACTTTTGAAATTCGAAAATGACCAAATTTCTTTTCTAGAAAATTGATCTAAAAATTTCAGATTTTTTTCCAAAATAAAAAAAAATTTAAAAACTTAGAAAGTTCCGCGTTTTTTGCAGAACATTAATGAGATCGATCCAATAAATTGTTTTATGGGGACATTTATCCCTCCTATCTACAGTGACCCCAATATGATGTTGGAGACAATTACAGGATCCAACATGGCGACGCAAACAAATATGGTACTTTGCCTCTTAAAAAACAGAATTTCAACCTTTACTTTCCACAGACTATCACTATAACAGTTTAGAGCTACAGACGCCAGATGTAGTATTGATTTCAGAAGCTCTCTTACATGTGTTGCCTCTAAAATCAGCATTTCAATCACATCTTCAGCTGTCGATGCCCGGAGCGGCCATTTTGAATCGTCCTGACAGGTGGAGCTTCTGCCAAAATGTGACTTTTGTGCTGGTTGATTTTCTCTAACTGGGAAGACGGAATCTCACAGTTTGGACTACATCTGGAATACGTGATGAAATAGCTCTTCCAACTTTAGTCAATCAGCAGTTGCCCTAAATGAGCAACGTTGCATATTTGGGGAAAAATGCTGCATTTCAGTTCCCTCGGAAATCTATTTGACGTCACACCAAAGAAACAACGTTCTGGTAAATAAACAAAACAAAAAAAAAATAATCCAACATGGCGATGGATTTTCTCAACAAATTTGATCAATGGAATCAATTATTAACATTAAAATATTTTACTTTGGTAAATGCATTTTCTAACATATGGCAAACATTCAAAAATAAATTTTTATCTTAGGAATTATTAAAACTTTTCACTTTTTAAAAATTATTTTAATGATGTGATATTTCTATAGATCAAGTGTTCGTACTCGGAACACCAACAATCCGACAGCACCTGAATGCAACACAACGCGTAGAGCGTGATGACATCATGACGCTCTTCCTGCCCGGTCCGCCTGGTTCGGAGCTGTTTACATGTGAGAGCTCCTGGTCGGTCCTGAGGATGATCAAGACCGAGAAGGTTCTGCACCTGAAGAGCAGCCGCGGCCGGAAGGTTCGGGTGGTTCGGGAGCACTACCTGCGGGAACGGGTTCCCTGCTTCAGCGCGCTGTGCCAGGCGGGCTGCGAGAACGGTGAGGTCCGCGGGAGTCTGCGGCGGTTCGGGAGCTCGGTTCGGTTCTGCTGAAGGCCTGGGTTCACTGTGGCATGTGGGACATCTCTGGTCCGGTCCGGACCGGAGGATAAGACCCACAGTCCGGACCGGAACCAAAACTAGACGGACCAAAATTTCAATCAAATTTCCTGTTTGAATGAAATCAATAAATAAGTTGATCGATCAGTCAGAAAGTTTTCCTGAGTTCTAGATCCACTCAGTGGCATCAATGGGCCTGTCACGATAACATTTTACTGGCCGATTAATTGTCTCAAATATTATCGCGATAAACGATAATATTGTTTGAAGACCTTTTTACATTGATTTAATGGAAATTACGTGATAATACATGCGATTTCCTGCCAAAGATAGAAACACTTTACTTTCAAAAGACACTGAACACTGGGACTGATGCACAAAATAAATAACACAACCAAAACCAAAAATAAAATAGATTCTCAGTCTCCATTAACAATAAATGTACTTGAATAAAAACTAAACAACATAAAGCCAAAGTGGAAATAAACACTGCATTCAACCAAAAGACTGCAGATTATGAAGTCTGTATATTATATTGGCCTTCAGTAATAATTAGATTTAAATAGAGAAGAATCCGACTGCCTGATGCAAAAGTTCAAACTACAGGATTTATTCCAAACGACAATCTTAGAACGTTATTCGTTCTGAGATTGTCACTTGTGTGTTACTGTAGATTGTTGTGTGTTACTATGGATCGTTGTGTTACTGTAGATCGTTGTGTGTTACTGTAGATTGTTGTGTGTTACTGTAGATCGTTGTGTTACTGTAGATCGTTGTGTGTTACTGTAGATCGTTGTGTGTTACTGTAGATTGTTGTGTGTTACTGTAGATTGTTGTGTGTTACTGTAGATCGTTGTGTGTTACTGTAGATCGTTGTGTGTTACTGTAGATCGTTGTGTGTTACTATGGATCGTTGTGTTACTGTAGATCGTTGTGTGTTACTATAGATCGTTGTGTTACTGTAGATCGTTGTGTGTTGCTGTAGATCGTTGTGTGTTACTGTAGATTGTTGTGTGTTACTGTAGATCGTTGTGTGTTACTGTAGATTGTTGTGTGTTACTGTAGATCGTTGTGTTACTGTAGATTGTTGTGTGTTGCTGTAGATCGTTGTGTGTTACTGTAGATCGTTGTGTGTTACTGTAGATCGTTGCGTGTGACTGTAGATCATTGTGTTACTGTAGATCGTTGTGTGTTACTGTAGATCGTTGTGTGTTGCTGTAGATCGTTGTGTGTTACTGTAGATCGTTGTGTGTTACTGTAGATCGTTGTGTGTTACTGTAGATCGTTGCGTGTTACTGTAGATCGTTGTGTGTTACTGTAGATCGTTGTGTTACTGTAGATCGTTGTGTGTTACTGTAGATCGTTGTGTGTTGCTGTAGATCGTTGTGTGTTACTGTAGATCGTTGTGTGTTACTGTAGATCGTTGTGTGTTACTGTAGATCGTTGTGTTACTGTAGATCGTTGTGTGACTGTAGATCGTTGTGTGACTGTAGATCGTTGTGTGTTGCTGTAGATCGTTGCGTGTTGCTGTAGATTGTTGTGTTACTGTAGATCGTTGTGTGACTGTAGATCGTTGTGTGTTGCTGTAGATTGTTGTGTTACTGTAGATCGTTGTGTGACTGTAGATCGTTGTGTGTTGCTGTAGATCGTTGTGTGTTGCTGTAGATTGTTGTGTTACTGTAGATCGTTGTGTGACTGTAGATCGTTGTGTGTTGCTGTAGATTGTTGTGTTACTGTAGATCGTTGTGTGACTGTAGATCGTTGTGTGTTGCTGTAGATCGTTGCATGTTGCTGTAGATCGTTGTGTGTTGCTGTAGATCGTTGCATGTTGCTGTAGATCGTTGTGTTGCTGTAGATTGTTGTGTTACTGTAGATCGTTGTGTGACTGTAGATCGTTGCGTGTTGCTGTAGATCGTTGTGTGACTGTAGATCGTTGCGTGTTGCTGTAGATTGTTGTGTTACTGTAGATCGTTGTGTGACTGTAGATCGTTGTGTGTTGCTGTAGATCGTTGCATGTTGCTGTAGATCGTTGTGTGTTGCTGTAGATCGTTGCATGTTGCTGTAGATCGTTGTGTTGCTGTAGATTGTTGTGTTACTGTAGATCGTTGTGTGACTGTAGATCGTTGTGTGACTGTAGATCGTTGTGTGACTGTAGATCGTTGTGTGTTACTGTAGATCGTTGTGTGTTGCTGTAGATCGTTGTGTGTTGCTGTAGATCGTTGTGTGTTACTGTAGATCGTTGTGTGTTGCTGTAGATCGTTGCGGCCGCTCCGATCTAAATCCAGGATTTGCCCAGACTGGGAGCTGAACGCAGCCTGTTGAATGTGACCTGCAGCCAATGAGAAAGCGCGGATTCCCCTCCTGCTTTAGGAGGGGAATCATGGAGGGGATCCCAAACAAATATCCTGACAAATATTTCTAAATTAACACACAAAATCTGTTATGTTGATTGCAAAGAAGCACAAAAACAATCCTGGATGGACTGATTAGTGTGAAAAGATGTTCAATATTATATTTTAAGTAACAGTTATTGATGCTGAAACACCAATTCATTGATATTTTAACCATTTAATAGTTTTTATCCAGACGTTCTGGCCCAACAGGCCCTTTAAGAACGTTCTGGTTTTTGATCTGGACCCAAATGGAAATGAGTTTCATGTCCTGATATTCGGGATAAAACAAGAGAATCCTGTTTTGAATGTAAACAAGAATGAAGATATTTGGAGGTGGAATGATGTCACAGCACCAGCAAAGATTCTGTGATGTCACTGGCGATGCAGTCTGTGATGTCATCAACTGCAGAATCGTATGTAACACAATTCTGCATATTTGTCATTGCTTGCAATACCCCTGACCAGTTCAGACGCCCGCAAAGCACTTTCCAATCGACCGTTCACTTCGTTTTGAAATCGACAACTTTAGTGATTTTACTGGAATAAAAATGTCTCAAAATACAGAAAGACACCAGAACCGCAGACTGGCCCACCTGGAGGAGGAGCTGGAAGAAACCAAATTCCAGCTGCAGAAACAAACGGAGCTCAAGTGGGATTTTTCAACAAGGCCCACAGAGCAACTGAGGAGCTGAAGAGACTCCAGAGATATACTGACACTGAAACACTGAAAGTTGTTGCTATTGCTTGTCAGGCTCACTTCAGTGTGGAAGACCTGGATAAAGAGGAGCTGCAACAAAAATACGAAGATTTAAAGGTGTCTCAGTTCCACATCCAGGACGCACTGCTGGCAGAAATGCATGATGAGAAGCAGCGAAATAAAGTCCTGGAAGACAAGCTGGATGACCTGAAGGCTTCGTATGAGGAGCTGCGCCGTAAATACGAAGCAGACGTTGGTGATGAGGCAAAGCTACATGAGGAACAGAGCCTGGAGAAGCTCAGAGTGGAGAAAGACAACATCATACATGACATGACCCAAAAGATCGACCTCCTGCAAGAAAATGAAAAACGTTTACAAGCCGAACTTGAGGAGAGCAAACGTGGAACAAACGAACAATCAAATTAATAAACAGTTAAAGCAGCAGGCGGAGATTTACCAAGACAAAATAAAGAAAGAGGAAGCTGCACTTTACAAAGAAAGAAAAGAAAATGTCATCCTTGGATTAAACTACACTGTATTGATTGAACAATTTGAAAAGCTGGAGACACAGAAAGAAACTCTGATGGAGAAATCAGAGGAGGACACGGCGCTGGTGGAGAAAATAAGAAAGGAGTACGCCATCCTCCAACGCAAAGCAAACCAGGACGCCAAATTCCTGAAGAAAAACGCAAAGATTTTAAAGAAAGAATTGGATGAGAGCAAAACATTTTACAACAAGCTCAAACTTAAATTTAACTTGGATATTACTGGATTGAAGGAGGAGATGGAAAGATGTAAACAGAAAGTACAACAAGAGAAAGACGCCTCATTGCAATCAGCGACTGAGAAGCAGCAGCTCATCGACAGCCTGCGACAGGAAAACGCCGTCCTGGAGGAAAACACACGGCGAGAAAT